GGGGGTGAATTTGGTGTTTTTAACAGTCCTGCAATTTGTGAGGTGCATTGTTGTGGTGTATGAAAATCATGTTGTACCTTATAGTTCTGTAGATCAATTTAATTAATGGGGTTTGACTATTATTCTTGCACTCTGCATATGTACTCTAGCTTACTGTTGTAATGTTCACCACAGCTGATTTCTTTTTCATAAATTGCAGTGAAGTATAAGGATTAAAAAATGAAAAAAATTTAATAATTCCTTTTTCCATTGTTTATCAATAATGTATTTATGACAGTCTTGTGTATACATATATGTATGAATTTCAGATTTAGTAATTCTGTTCCTGAATACAAAATAAGTACAAACATCCTTCTTGATATCTACACTTTGATTGCTGTCTGAATTGAAAAGTTGAGTTATCTGTATGCATATATTCACAGTTTCAAAGCACCTGCAGAGTTTGACAAGGTCCAATATGATCCTGGTGTTTCTTTGACCAATAAGTCTCAAGTCTACTTCATCCAAGTCCCCAAAGGGGTAAGCTTTTAGTTTTTCATTGCTCCCTGTTATATTATGGCTATGATAACAATAATTGCATTTATAACCCATATCCATGCTTGATAGCATGCTCTATGCACTTTACACCTATTTATAATGAAAGTATGGACAAGTTGACTGTGCAGGAAACTGTGATTATGAAGTTCTTAATGATCTGTAGTTAAATATCATGTCACTGATAAATGTGTAGGAATATATATTCAAAGAAGTTTTGTTATAATTTGAAATTACGTCTTCTTTTTTTCTTCTTTATTCTGTGATAAAATTTTGAAGATTAATTGAGATTCATCTTTGTTTGGCGGGCAAGCTCTTTTTTTAATGGTCGTTTCTGTTTAGACATTTATATGAGAAAGTAACATCAGTTCACCATTTTGCAGATTAAAATCTTTCATCAGTTTTTGTTCCATTACAATCTATATTGCTGAAGTGAGTTTTTAATTCCTTTTTCTTACTTTGAAGGGTTTACAATTTACAGTCTGTTATTTTTTTTGCTCTCTTTGTCTCCCTTGCCTTGTTGTCAATGGAATTGTTTTTCTATTTTATTCAGTTTGACATCAAGAAACTTGATGGAACAAATTTTTCAACCCATCACAAGAATGAAGTTGGGGTAAGATAATGTCTTCAATAATGAACTACTTATTGATTTGCTTGTCTTTTATGTTGAATGTTTTGTACAACAAACTTAGATTGCAAATTTCACTTCTTTTTTTTGTTTTTTTTTTGTTAGTGTTTCACGGCACTCGCAACTGCATAAGGTCATATGGGCGCGCGAGACACATTAAGCATTTTCAGTTGGTAGGAAATTTTGAATTTTTCATGGGTGGCGGCTGAAGCCTACTCTTATCGATTTTAGTCCCTCAAGGGATCTTAAACGTGCGCAACTTGCACACGCGACCTCCAAGATTTTTCGCCCTTGTCCAAGAAGGCTAGGTGTAGGTCTTTCCTACCAGAATATCAGGGATGTGGCTGAAATACAGCAGTAAGAAAGAGCCATGGAGTACAAGTAGTAAGGCTGCCGAAAGAGTCGGGAGCCTAGAGGAGGGGACAAAGGAGGTGAGGGGATGGGGGCAGAAAGTGGAGATGAAAGCAGACGATAGAACATTGCTAGAGAGCAGGAAAGGTGAAAGGAGACAATTTAAGAGTCCATTGCTACCCGGATTCAAACCCGGAAGCTTTGAATGAGAGGTGAACACCTTAACCTCTAAGCCACAAGA